AAGCTACTGGCATCTCCTCCAATCCAGAGTTATCTCCTGACGAAAGTTTCAATCCAGGAATGTCGAGCTTATCCAGAAAGTTCTTTTTTTTTTTTTCGAAGGTGCTCAAAACAATGGTATTGTCGAAATCAACAAGCAGTGGCGCAGCAGCAGGGCTTGATATTTTAAGGAGAAGGCAAGTAATCAGCCTCCATTTCGTAGCGCAACCCTCTGGCTAGCTTTGCTTTGAAGCTTTCAGCGCAGCACAAAGAGCGTATCTGAAAAACAAAAAAACCTTCTTTCTGGATAAGCTCGGCCTTCCAGGATTAGAACATTGTTTGGTCTCGTAATACAGGGAACCAAGTTGCTACCTCTGGAGACAACTTGGGATCAGAGGGGACGCCAGTAGCTTCGTCAACATCACTGTTTTCCATGTTAAGTTCGACACATAGCCACCACTTGTGGACACACAGCCCTCGAAATTCGCAGTTTCTCTAAGTTTTGGTGGTTTCCTGTTGCGCTTTAATGCTGCTGGTTTAGACAAGTGTGCAGGAATATTTGGGAAAATTCGAGGAAACGCACCGGGCTTAGTGAAAGTTTCACGTTTACCCTTACAGTGTGCTCGCAGCAAGTGGTTAGGTCCTTAGATTCGAAATGTAAGTTGAAAATGTATGTCTTGATTGTCACCAGAAAGGCTTTTTGTGGAATAGCAGCTGTTCCGGTCCTGAAAACTGCAGGTTAATTTGGGAAGTTTGAAGAAGCGCCGCCGATTGCAATTGTTTTCCTCAGAGGCATAGCCACCTCGACAGCCCAGCACGCCACAGGTTGGCATGTTTACTATGTTAAACTGCTAATTGTCGTGTAACGTGTTGGGTACTATTGCGATGACCGAAATCTAACCTTCCCTTCAAGCTCCCCCCACTGTGGTCTGAGCAAGCGAACTAAAAAAAAAAAATCAACACTGCCGCGGGACGCAGGTGGCGGTGGCGGCTCATTCTCAACTTTATGCCAGCACCGCTCCTCAAAGCGAATACACGATGGGGTCGCCTCCGGAGCAAGCTTTTCCAATTGACAGTATCTAAAAACGTTGGCTGCTAGTTTGTACCTGACTAGATCTTTCTTCTGCTTTTTACACTCTATCTATTAACCAAGCACAAAAATCTATTATCTTCATCAGCAGGCTAAAGAAGGTATGACGAATCCTCGGTGTACCCCTTGATTATACTGTATCTTCTGCCTGCTCACTACGGTTTGCTGCATGAAATGAAGCTTGTTGCAAGTTGAAGCCAGTTCATGAAGTGTCCTTTTTATTTCTTCTTCTTTTTCTCTTGTTGGTTACGGTTTCTTTTGTTGGTGATGGATCCGTGGTTTTCAGGTTGATGTTTCTCCCTCCTCCTCTTCTTCTCTTTGCGATTTACCTAACCTTTCCTCCAGTGCCTCCGAAAAGACAAGTGAGTACTCATAATTGATCTGTGTGTGCATTGCCTTGCTGCGTTTGCCTTTCCTGTCTCGCCCGTCTCTCCTGTACCTCCTGTTGCTTGAGCGCCTGTACTTGCTTGCTTAGTTGCATGTGTATTTTTTGTTTCTGGTGTGCAATACATAAGAGACAATATGCCTGTAGATGCCATAGGCTGAGAGGTGTTCCCTGTGCCTCTAGCTGACCGTGGACTGCTGCAACGCTTGTGTGGCCTTTTTACAATCTAAGAAAAAGTGTGAATGTCACCCACAGAATCGCAGTGTGCCATTTCTTTACCTGCGCAATACAACTGTGCTAGCTGGTTTCTGCTCGAACTCTAAGCACTGAAGCACTTTTTCTCGAGTAATATAAATACGTGCACATTAAGAGTTAAGATTTGTTAATACCTAAAACATTGTTTGGTTGAGTAGTGATGTCGGCATTCCTGACGTAATTTACCGGGACATTCAAGTTTCTGACCTAGAAATAGAAGGCTATGTGAAAATGGGAAAGTTGGATACTCGAGAAGTGCTTGACATTGCAAAGAGTGAATGCTATTAGATAGAAAATTGTGCGAACTCTCTGTTTAGGAAAAGGCAATAGCTGTCAGCGAAGCTGAAATTTTTACTTAGGTTGTAATCAATGTTTGGGAACACACGTGTCATGTTCCCAAGGATCTTAAAAGTACAGCAAAGCTTATTGCAATCTTCATGTTTGGTGGTGACAAACTTGGAATTTTTCAAAAAACAGAAATAGGCCAGTAACGTTATGAGTGCGAACTAAATATTGGCTTCCATTTATTTTTCAAATAGCTCCATCTGTGGTTCCTGCGACTGAATTTGCTATCGCGTAGGTATCTTCTTTCAGTTGATGTCGTTTTACGCAACTTCAGCAAGTGGAACCATTTACTGCCGAGGTTGAAGAAATCTCGGTCAGCTTATCTATTGCGAGGTGATCATGAGATAAGTGCTTAAAAAGCCTTAGAAATTGAGAAGCCTATGTAACATGGTAGGATATCAGTGCCGTTTGCTCAAGTTAACTTGATCATGACAGCATCATCACAATTTATTTATCTGACTGGTAAAATTAAGTGAGAGAAAAGACTAAAAGGAAAAAAATTGGTTCCAAATCTGCATGTTACAACGCAAATGTAGTCAAAAGACGATAGTCTTGTGTCTGGAGAGAGTGAACAAAACGTTTATTTGATGTTCTGCGCAAGAAAATTGGTGAAAGGTATTCTGGAGGCGCTGCGTTAGAGTGCCTCGAGCATGTAGCGGAGGCGAACGAGCGCATTGAGGCACGTTAGACACAAGCGCCATCTGGCAGTTATCTTCGAAAACGAAGGTGTGCAGGCCGCGGAGAAAGATGCACGCCAGTCTCGGAGGTGATAAGGTGAAGAACACAAAACGACGGGCAGGTGCCACCACTGTGACGTCGTAGCAAAGCGTTGGAAACACCTTTTAGAGCATCGCGTTGCACTGTCAGCGCAGCGCGATAAACGCTACATTCCTTAGAGTTACTTGTGTGTGCCTCCTCTAGTATAAAGGCAGACATACAAAACTTTGAAGTGTTGTTATGGCGCCTCAGATACACGCAATAATTGCTTTTTAATTTTACAATCGCACAACTATGAACGCTAAATCTTGAGCAATATTGGTGGGCACTGCGAATAGGCTTGGCCGTTTAGTGCCGTTTGAGGCATCGTTGGGATGGACAAACAGACAAATGTACAGACAGACAGACCAAAATTTTTTCGTCGAAGGTCTCCAAGAAAGATTATCGTCTTTAAAAAGCATCAGAATATGTGGCTGCTTCATATGGCGGTGCCTTGTTCTTTAACCACGTCTCAAACATTTGGCTAACAGTGTAAAATGTCAGTCACAGTAGTTCGTGCTCTACTGAAACGACATTTAGAATGGGTGTTGTTCTTTATAGATACATAAAGATTATATTTCCCCTGAAACCATGAGAACTCGTGCCATATTATAGTACTATAAGTATATTGTACCAGAGCACCAATAATGTTGTTATAGAAAGAGCCTGTACTCCCCGTGTATCAGTTCAAATCACATGCTTATGCTTCCTTCGCTTACTTGACGCATTTGAAAGCGAATAAACAACAAAGCATGTATTGTGTGTGAATACTTTTACTATGACTACATCTAAGAAAGCTTCGTGTTTCAGCAATTGTTTTAAGCCGAACTGTACTCGCACCAAGCATTGCTCACCTACATCCTGGTGGAACAGTATGTTGTGAAAGTGTGCGGCAGATGATGGCAACAGGTTTGATTCAAGGCATTATAAAACACTTTATGATTGTGTCAGGCCAGTATGGTAGCTTGCCACTAAGACTAAACAAATAAACAAAAGTGACAGTTTAGCAACCACTCGGGAAGCCAAGTGTGGCTATGACAGAATGGGCATGTTTGAAGCAGGGAAACATAAAAAAAAAAGTATTGAGTAGAAGCTCTTGTGACGCCTTAGCGGCAAATGTTAAGCCAGCAACGGCCTATTGTTTACCTCAAGAACATAGCCTTCTCGTGTGATGCCCGATGGCAGAAAAAGTGCGGTGTTTGGTCTTAGTAAATGCTAGGTTAAATATAAAATAAGAGAACACTGTTTTTTGATTAAACTTATTTGTCCCGATGAGTATTGATAACATGATCTCTCATAAAGTTTTCCGAGTTTTTGAGGTCTCTTATAAAAACCAGTAACACCTGGACACCCTTAGCAGTATCAGTTTTTTGAAAAATGAGTCTCATTGAACTCGTTCGGCATTTTCCCTGTACGATGACATATATCTTTGCAATACATAATGGTACTGTGTGTTACCAGGAAGGCATACTGCTCTTTCATAGTACAGAATTACTACTACTCTGAATACGACACCCTTCGCTCTAAAAGCAGTCTCGAATAAATTTGCAAGGTCTAGCTTCATTTTCAACAAATAATTTTCACTCCAGCACTCTTTTCCAACTCTTTGTGGTCCGTTGTCGGAACGCAGCTGCAGTTGTCCGAGGACGGGCACTGCTGGACAAGTTATTCCGCGGTTGATTCGCTCGTGGATTTCCTTACTACACTTTACACCATCTTTAAAAGAGTTAGTAAATTTGAGATTGGATTCTCAGTTTTGCACTAGACGCAACAGAAGTTGGGAAAAGGTTTCAGACCACCTAGGGTTAAACCTGCTTGTCTTGAATATGCCACATGTCCGCCTCGGCGAATCAGTGGCTAAGGTGCTCGGCTGCTGACCCAAAGGTCAGGGGTTCTTTCCCGGTTGCGACGATCACATTTCGATGAAGGCGAAATGGTAGAAGCTCGTGTACTGTGCGATGTCAGTGCACGTAAAAGGACACCAGATGGTCAAAATCCGGAGCCCTCCACTACGGCGTCCTTCATAATCACATCATCCGTTTGAGTCGTAAAACCCCACATTTTAACAAAATTTGAATATGCCATGCTTTAAAGTCTGGAAGGGTGCTCTCTTTTCCTTAAGTTTTTCTTTCCCGATTCAAACGTACTTATCTGACACACCGCTCGTGCCTCGTTTTTTCCGCCATCCCAGCAGGGAGGGGCCACATACCCGTGGCCGTAGTGCCGCCGCAGTCGCGCCACCCATCCGAGCCAAGTTCGATCACCAAGGGTCTACTCCCAGACAGCATCGACCATGAGTTTGGGGTAGACGCTGGTAGTCAGCTCTCGCTCCTCAAACAAAGTTCGGTGTGACCACGCCAGGCACGATCTCGCAGTCCCGGAAGGCTGCGCCACGGAGTCCCACCACTTGCCAGCTCATCGGGCCACTGTGCAGTTGTCGGCTACGACCCCCACGTGGCCAATGAGGGCAAGACGGCAAAACAGAATGCAAAGAGCTTGTCAACTTGAGATTATCCACTCCCGAGCCAAACCAAGAACCACGTTGTAACACGACATGCAAGTCCGGCGCCAGCCACCGTAGGACCGAAACAAAGAAACTGCTGCTCATAACTTTTTCTCATCACAATCTGCACACGACTCGCTGATCACTGCACCCCATTAATTTTTCACGGCACGATTGACTTAAATGGTCTTACGGTGGCTAATGGTAGATCCTGAGTGCGCTGACCTGACGATTTCGAAGATACTGTTTTTAAGTCTGTTGTGGGCAGGTTTTATGCCAGTTGTTGTATGTTCGGCTATGCGATACATTGTACTCTCCCTTGAGGTGATTGGAACAATTTAGTAAGAATCAGGTTCACTAGCTGCATTTGTTACCTCTTGATGTGAACAGAACTTTCTCTTCATAGTTTACCGTGGGTCGAACATGTGATGCAGTTCGCCTTCCAGTTGGCACAGGGAGACCTCTGATTCATTGTGCTGCTTTTATTATTATTAATATTATTACTGTTATGCCATTAGCGCAATCACTTGCCTATTTTAAAACTCACTAATGCGCACCTCAGCAGTACATTCGTGTTGCAGCTTTCTGTATTGCGTTCTTGATTGCATGTCGTGTTTTAGCAGAGTTTTGCTTGTCATGTTAATCTTTGTGAGACGTATATCCTGTTTGCTTTTCTTCTCAAATCCTGACAATGATTGTAGCAATCTTTCAAATGCTATATGGTGCTTTCTGTGTTGGAGTGGTTTGCTTAGCTGCGCCGTAGGAAAATAACTTTTGTCTCAGGCAAAGCAATACCAGCACTTCTGAGTTGGAATGTGTAAGCTTATATACGTGGCAGTTTGCACGCTTTGTCATTAAAGAATTGCAATCAAACGTACACTGTCGGACAACCCCTAGTCACGCTTCGTTTGAGCTCACAGCCATATGGGCAGTCGCACAATGGTCACAACGAAAGCTGGCCCTAGCCTTTCCATGTGAACCCGCCAATCATACCTTTAGCGAGCACCACCATTAGGACAGAGCTTTTATTTCGTTAGGGTATTGCGTGTGCCCTTTCTGCCATACTGAGTGGGTGTTGGTTTTTATATATAGCAGGCTATATTAGGTGTGTAGCAAGTTTGTGTAAATGCTATGTGTCCATGCTCATTTTATTTTTTATGTTTCTTTTTTATTTATGTGAAGACTTGGGACTTATAACTTTGAACAAAGACTGTAAAGAGAAAAAAAAAAAACTAACAGTCCCTCCTAAAGGTGCACACCCCCATTTATCTGCTCACTTGTGTCTCGTCGCTTTTTTTTTTCTTTTGTTGGTCCTGTGTACAGCTAAATATGTAATGAATTTATTACTGCTTCCAGTCTGTTTGCCGAAGTTTAGATGGCCACCTATTGTGAAGGATACGCATAAAGTTGCTTAGAAATAAATTCTCACCCGTATGGGTTGGCCATCATGTTTGGTTGGTGCTCAGCGGGATCTTAAGTGCAAATAATTAAGGCTTATTAGCTTATTGCTATCATATTGAGACTCACCTGTGAGGTCTCGCATGGCGTTTGTCCAGCTTCGAGTCTTCGAAAGACTGAAAAGATGTGTTACAGCGAAGATGTGTTTTTCTGATGGTGCATTTCACCTGCATCTTGTGCCGTTGAAAAAAAAAATGTTTGGCTGTTATAAATCGTTCTTGATTGGACTTGTGATGGCATGTTTGCTTCAGGACATGGCGTTATATTTATTGCGTGAAAGTTACGTCGTTGTGGTTTCTGCTCGAGGCCATTGTGTACAAACCATTTGGTCGTTGAAGGAATTATCACGAGGTGAATTAACATTCATTGGTATAAACTAAGACTTCGAAGTGTTTCGTGATCTTTTTTGTGTCTGTGTTATCTCACAGCATTTATGAAGATTTGTGCTTACACGCTTGTCTAGATGGCCAGTTATGGGTATCATGAAAGACTAATATTACATATATTGTAGGGCACCACTTTTGCTGCTGGCAGTACACCACCAGTGCTTGTCTGCTGGCAGTAAACCACTTAGTTTATCGTGTTTCTTGGCCTTGGCTGAACATTCAAGATTGTTCTTACTTCAATGATTTGCTTCAAAGTACCAATGTGTTGCGAAAAAAACAACAGGATTTTAGTATTCGGCAATGGCATGTACCGATGCTTGTATCACTGTACATATGCATATACATATATAAATATAGTTGAAATGTATATAAATGCACTGTGTAGATATTTTTGTGGAATGTGTACATTGGGTTTTTAATTGTTATGCTTTTTGCATATCGATATTGCAATAAATAATTTTATACGATTGGGCGCTACTTTGTGCAATCCTTTCTGCATTACATCACAAAAAAATCAGAAGCCGCCTTCATCGTTAACACAGCTTTGTTGCGTTATACTCGCATGTTGTCATTCATGTGCTCTGGTTCATGCATACCTTCGGTTAACACTGTTTCATCGCGCGGCCAAAGCGGATTTCGGAGGCCACACAGAAAGGAGCACGTGGTTGCAATGTGCTATGGCTGGTGACCCCCTGCTGCTCGTCGTCTGCTCTGTCAGCTCATTCAAGGAATTTTCATTAATTGTACCGATAATTTAATGGCATTTAAGCAAAAATTATGTGCTCAATATCATGTCTATCAAATGTAATTTACCTTGAACTAGGATTGTCTGTTTCGTGCCTAGTTTCTTTTTTAAAGCACTTTTTTCTGGATATTTGGCAATCCAAAAGTAATTGCTCGAGTGGAAATGCGAGGAAGAGGAACAAGAATTCGCTGCTCGAGCGGCTGTTAACGTCGCTTCTTTGTCTATGTGAGATACAGGTGGGAAAGTCAAGTTTCAAAGCCGCTTACCAGATAGTAGTCGATGAAGCAGACCCATAGCCAGGATTTCTTTTTTTTTTTTTCAGAGAGGAGGGGCACTTCTTGAATGCCTTGAAAGACTCATATTTTTTGTTTTTGCAGTAGCAGCGTTTCTAGTGGAAGCCAGTGCATTTTAGTATTTATTCGGGGCAACTTTTTTTGATAGCACTGTAGAAACTTCAGGTCCGAACCGCATCTCTGCTACCGCACCAACAAATAGTTCTAAGTTCACTGTTAATTTCCTTTTTTGCCTTGCTGAAAGAAGGGATGTTTCATTGTTCACTTTGCGAAAGTGCCTTCTTTATTTTCTATTTCGTAGATGGCACCAACTTTTCAGCACACCCGTTTTTCGAGGTTAACATGGCGTCCATGACTCATTGGGTCGGTGCAACACTACTAGATTCTAGTAACATTGGTACAGCCTTCGGCCTCAGACGTGCTCTTCAATTTTCCAAGAAACATAAACTCGTAATATCACACTAAAATGTACGCTAAACAATCAAAATGTTCTTTATATTCACATTTCTCTTGTATATGTTCTTCTAAACAATGTGTCTAAACATGTTAGCGATGCGGGGGAGCAAAACCGATATCAGGCGCGAACTGCTGTACTACTTGCGGAGCAACCCGAATGTGCGGAAGCCTCGCCTTTGCTCGAGTGTCAAGACAAGTTGTCCCCGAGTATATATTCTTGGCGTTGGTGTCAGTCACTGGAAAGCAGCAGTGTAGACGAGTTGCGCTCATTGGTAGGCAAAACTAGTTTTACCTAGAGCCGACAGCAATCGCAATGGCCTGCTCATCCATTTCTTGTGCACTGCAGGCAAGAATAAATTAATGCCGATTTTCGCTTACCCTGTTCCTACCTGCGTTGAGATGTGCCATCGTAGTTTTGTTAGACAATTCAGCACAGATAATCAGGACAGTTGTTAAATCCATGCTTGGTTTTCGTGTAATTAGGCCATTCATTTGTTCATTAAATTTTCATAAAATGTGCAAAATGCCGAGTGTCAAGACTTCTGTTTCCATTTAAAGGAGCACCAAAGTGACACAATAAATTAGTATAGACCGATAAGTTATACTATGGAAACTTGTCTCATTAATTTCATCACCATATGATTATAAAAATATGAGAAAATGAATATAAAATGTTTCACTTTTAAATCTACCGCTGAAATCTCTGATGCTGACGTCACGAATTTCAGTGTGTTGTTTCATTTTTGTAACATTTGCTCAATGAATTTTTCAGAAACTTGGTATGTGAAGCATATATGGCCCCATCAGAAGACAGTGTAGTTCATTTTTACCGGTTAGCAATACGTAAGCCCTAGCAGACGCCCTCAATATTTAAGACTTGCAGCGACCGGTGCGGCAACATCAAAGCAGCATCACCACCTGCCTTTCCTTTGTGTCCTTTTTCTGGCTTACGAAGGGTCTTCTCACAACAGGCATGGTGTTTTTCTTATCGTAAAAGAGTAATTTATTATGTCGAGAAAAGTTTTCTCTTCGGTGCCCCAGTGTCGAAGCCTGACACCAACAGAAAGGGCAACAGGACAGCGTATTATTTACAGTAAACACGTACTATGCAATAGGCTTCGTAAAAAAGCATATTAATAGTAATTCAGGCTGATTCTTTGATTCATTTTATATTCTGTACATGCAAAGCACGGAGCCGTTTTGGGAACATGCGAGTGCATGTTGCTGATTACCTTCAATGCTGGCTTCTCTACAAAAAGAGCCATTATAAGGAGAAGCTTGCTTCTGAAATCGGCTCTTTTACATGAGGCCACATCTTGCAGCATTGAGATTTCTTTTCTCCGTAATGCTTCTTACAAGCTCCATTGAGCGATGTTAAGCACTGCTTGTCTTGTTTGCTTTCGGGCTCGCCTCACAGGTGCTGAGGAAGGGGGGAGACTCAGCACTCCCCCCTCCGTTCCCCATAGTGGAGAACTTTGCACCCGAATAGGCGTTGAAGAGTTTTAGAGAGAGCATTTAAGAAGCCACCTGTCCCGTGGACATCGCAGTACAGGTGCAGACGGGCATACAAATTGCTTGCCAATGCAAGAAAGAGAGAGAAGAGCTACCGCATGTTTGCTGCATGGCACAAAGAAATCACGGGGAGCGCAGATCTTCTCCGTGACGAATTGGTCTAAGGAATATTTCTGTCTCGCCTTTGTGTGACTTCAACTATAGCACGAAAGATCCTTTCTTTCCTCCCTCTCTCCATCTAACAAACTCCCTTATCCCTGTCCTTAGTGTTGGGTGGCATACTGGTCGTCCTAGACTGGTTAACATCCTGGCCTTTTTTCCCTCCCGTTTTTTTCTTTCTTGAGGCATGGAAGCAGCATGTCATCAATTCTTACGTCTTTGTGGCAGTCTGGCTTAGTACGATGCAGCATATCTAGCCCGCCGAAGCCATCTCGGTGCTTTTGGTTGAGCAGAGGTTGACAGGAGGATTTCATTGAATGACACAGCGCATTAACCCGCCACAGTGGCCTAAGGGTTATGGTGCTCGACTGCTTACCCGAAGGTCGCGGACTCAAATCACGGAGATGGCGGTCGCATTTCGATGGAGGCAATATGCTCGAGGCCTATGTGCTTAGATTTTAGGTGTAAAAGACAATCATGTCTCGTTAAGAGTGTGTCAGGTGATATCCCAATAATAATATGTCTAACAAAGAAAATGTGTCATTAAGTGTGCGCTTTTTTTCTAAATTTTTGGGTGGTGGGATAAGCAGAACGAACAGCGGAAGTGCCTCAGACGGGCTGGCCGACGTTAAGAGGACCTGTTTTTCTCAAAGGCCTTCTCGGTCCTCTTATAGAAACGTCGGCCAGGCCAGTGTCTGAGGCACTTTCTCTTTTCATTCTGCTTATCCCACTAAGTGTTTATATCGGTCGGCTCCCATCTTGATTTTAGATTCATAGAGTTTTGTCAAAAATGTCAGATGGTCAAAATTTCTGGTGTTCTCTACTACATCATTTCTTGTAATCAAATCGTGGTTTTGAGAGGGAAAATCTGAACAAAAGACAATGCATTCTTGGAAAAGTAACAGCACAAACAAACGAAGGACCTATGTGAAGTAGCATACAGGAAACAGAAAAATAACGCAGTTCTGTTGCTTACAGCAGGGTTGATTTATACTGCCATGTAATTTTGATTACATGCACGTGCAACCCACACTTTTTTTCAAAAGTAGTTTCTGTTATCTTGCCAGCATACTTCTTTTGCATGATTGTTTTACAAACAGTGCATATTTTTTGCACATGCATGTCAAGTAAAAAGCCCACTTTAAGGTGAAAGGCTTTGGAAACAATGTTCACGGGGCGGCGTCACCGCGGCCACTGTATGAACGTACCTGTGAATCCATTCGTACCCTTCAGTAAAAAAAAAGGAAAGGAAAGCACATAGTTCGCATATAAACTATTAGTGTTTGTCAAACTACAACGGGAACTGAAAGTCGTAAGGCAAAAGGATTCAGGATGATGAATTTCACGCAATAACATACAAGGTTTAACAATTATCACGTTTATCCCAATTCAAGATATACTGCTAATACAAACCATACACACAAAGAAAGATTAAAACAACTGCTCAATAGCAGTACCCTCCTGGCCACTTTAATTAGTTTTAAATTCAGTATGGCTACAGTTCTGGCGCTACAATAAAGTACTAAAAGCAATTGAACCGTCAGCTCATTTTCTGATTTGGGTTATCACTGTGTGTTTCGTGCTTATCTTGCATCACTATGCTCGTAGCGTAGTTCTTGCTCAGAGACATTCGCGGGATCAAATCCCGGCTGTGGCGGCTGCATTTCCGATGGAGGCGGAAATGTTGTAGGCCCGTGTGCTCAGATTTGGGTGCACGTTAAAGAACCCCAGGTGGTCGAAATTTCCGGAGCCCTCCACTACGGCGTCTCTCATAATCATATGGTGGTTTTGGGGCGTGAAAAAATGGGAAAAATTGTTGCTGCGAAATCAGGTTGTTTGAAAACCGGGGATCGGCTACCTTCACCTTCTTTCCGTGATGGTGCTGTGGACGACGTACCACAGGCTTAATATGGATTATAGGATGTCTAGCAGTTGTAAGTATGTTTGACGTTACAAAGCTAACCTTGTTGACTTGGCTTCCGTGCTGTACTGCCCCGTCGACGTTATTGCCTGTCATTGTTTCATTTGTAGTAATGCCCTTTGGATGATTTTGAGTCATCGTCACTTGCTTATTGAAAGCTTGCTGGTTACTTCGGTGAACTTCCACTTGTACGCTCTTTCCACTTGCCGTTCTGTTCACCATCACCATTGTGAATGGATTTCGAATGAATACTTGGTTTTGGACGCTTGACGACTGAGCGCCTGAACCTTGAGCGCCAACTTGAATTGAAACGTCAGAGTGAGTTCCAGTGGCTATCTTGTTGAATGTCATTCCTGTCCAAGGATTTCTGACCGATACTTGAATCT